CGGGGACGGGGGCGGTGCCGGCTCTCCGCCCGCGCGCACAGTAGGGCCGGGCGGCCGGGACACCCCTGCTCCGCGCGGTACCTGCGCGCGTCCGCTCCTCGCAGTCGCCGCTGGGAGGCGGCGCAGAAACAGGCCCATTTCACCGAGAAGGACTCGGAGCGCAGAGCGATGCCCACGGTGCGGTCCCAACATGGGGCGCCCCGGGTAGGGGGGTCCAGAGCCCACCCCAGTCTCTCGGCCGGCAGGGCTGTTTGCCCGAGGTGCTCTTCCAGGACGTGCAGAAGTAATGAAAGCACCTGGCTGTTAAAGGATCCCTCGGCGCTGCGCTTGCAGAACGGCCCCCCTCCACCACCCCGTCTTAGTGACTCACGTCGTTATTCGCAAAGTGATAGTTTTTGTTTTAATCATTAAAAGCGTTTCTTAAACTCATTAACAGAATTTCTTAAATTCTTCAGCAGTGTTTCTTAACACGGAGGGACCCGGGCACGTGGGCTGGGGGTGGGGTGGCAAGGGTGGTGTGAGCTTCTCCAGCTCTGAGGTTGGAGAGAGGTTTGGGGGCGGCTGGCCCAGGGGTGTCCTGGGTACACGGTGGGCAGTTGCTTGTCCTGCCTCTGTCCTTCCTGACATTCCAGGCGCTGCAAAGCCTCAGGTCTGGACAGGAAGCCTTCCTGTCCCTGTGGCAATCTCATTCTCTGAATATCCTGGTCGAAGCCTGGCCCTCCTTGGGGAGGCGAGGATGAGTAAAGCCCCTGACATCAAGAAGCAAATTGAGGGGCCAGACAGGTGGCCTAATGGCTAAGGTGGCTGGATCCCACTTGGTCAACTGTGTAGGTCGAGTCCCTAACTTGCCTACGGTGGCCCAAGCCTGTGCCTCCATACTCAAAATGCAGAGAGGAGAATGGAGGAGAAGGAATTGCGGGTGGCCACTCCCGCTTGGGGCATGCTTTTTCCCTATCTCTCTGTCTCTGAGTAAGTGCAGCCCTACAGCAAATCAAAAAGAAGAAAAAAAGAAAGAAAGAAAGAAAGAAAGAAAGAAAGAAAGAAAGAAAGAAAGAAAGAAAGAAAGAAAGAAAGAAA